GGGCCGGGGCGGGAGTGGGGGGAAGAGCCAGCTGACGGGGAGCGGGACTGACTCGGACGCACGCTGCCCGTCTCGTACACGGTCCCAGCGAAGCACAAGCAAGTCTGGCCCCGGGAATTCCCTCCCGCCCCGGCTCCAGCCCCTCACGTAGTTGCACTGTGAGCGTGTCTACCAGCCAGGAAGTTCACAACTAGGTATTGATACTCCTAACAACAATAAAACTCACCTAATTAGACCATACCGGACATTTTATGTGTCTGGTATTTTCTCAATCGTACACGGTCCCAGCGAAGCACAAGCAAGTCTGGCCCCGGGAATTCCCTCCCGCCCCGGCTCCAGCCCCTCACGTAGTTGCACTGTGAGCGTGTCTACCAGCCAGGAAGTTCACAACTAGGTATTGATACTCCTAACAACAATAAAACTCACCTAATTAGACCATACCGGACATTTTATGTGTCTGGTATTTTCTCAATTTGTTTCCCGGACTGAACCCTCAAATACCGGACTGTCCGGTTCAAAACCGGACACCTGGCCACCCTACTTCTCCTGTGTTAATTGTTCGCTTTAAATGCTGGTTTGATTTTTGCCAAATTGTTTTAGTTACTTTCTCAGGGTGATTCTTCAGCGTCTCTGTAACTAGTAACGGGGAAAGAGCCCGTTCAGCTTTGTTAGTCTCAGTGTTTGTATTTTCTTGTAACAGGGTTTCTTTAAGCCTGTTCACTTGTGAGCCAACTGACTAGTTTAATCAGGGAGCTGGCTGCCTAGCAGTGATCCACAGCAGAGGAAGAGGCTGCTTGGATGTCAACTGAGAAGTCCGTACAAGCAAGTGGAGAGATGGTTGAGACTCAGCATATAGGGTTGCCAGATGGTTTAACCAAAAATATCAAACACGCCCCTCTCAAAAAAAAAAAAAAAAAATCACCAGGGGAAAAATTCTGTTGAGGGGGAAAAAGGGGGGGGAGGGGAGAACCAAAAAAAAAGCATGGCCCCTTTATTTTAGGTGTCCGGTATTGTCTGAACTTTTTTACTGGAGAGGAGGCGAAAATACCAGTCTGTCTGGGTCAATACCGGACATCTGGCAACCCTATCAGCATATGGTGCAGATTTGATGATCAGAGGCATAAACTGAGGCTTTGGTGAACTAAATGGAAGCTTTTGGGACCTTGCCGTCTTTTCTCACTGTGTTTGCGTGGACTGAACTGTTCACATTTTACTTTTAGTTTTCTTTTTACGTATGTTTACTGGAACTATGGCCATTTTCTCTGGCTTCTAACAGAGCTGTGTCCTGTTGTAAGAATTAGATGATTTGTTTCTTCATAAGAGTTTATAAAGTTATTTCATTAAAGTCGTTTCTTTCGGAACTTGAATGTAGGGAGGCTGACACTGGGTTATCCTTCCTCAACTCTGGGTTTCCGGTACTATGTGGGAGTGGGGTTTTTTTAGGCACTGGAGAAGGGCAGTGAAGTCCAGCCTACCCAAAGTTACATAAAGAAATTGAAAGTGGGGAGCGAGGGGGAACAAAGACTATTCCACTGAATTGTTCATTACCAGAGATTATCGGTAGGTAGAAAGCTTTCAGGGACAAGCATGACTTTGGAGCAGATGGTGTCCCTTTGAGGGCATAATTAAAATGCTGCAGGAAGGGCAGGGGAAAGCAAATTAAATAGATCATTTACCATTATTTTCTGCTGTGCTTCAGTTAACGCCTCCACCACTTGTTCTCAGCTGGTAGCAAATTGTTACTTCGTTTCAGAGCCCTGTAAAAAAAAAAAAAAAAAAGATACCAAGCAACGTTCAGTGTAAAACCGAAGCCACAAAAACATCTAGAGATGAAAAATTTGGAAGAGCCTTCACAGTGCATGCAAATACTTACGTGGTGCGTGTTTGGGTGTCTATTTTGGAGCGGCTCTCTCCTATAACCCCCACAAAAAGAATCGCCGTGAAGAGAGAGTTCAGGAAACGCCAAAGCTTTGACAGGTCGCTATGTAATAAAAACATTAGAAAGTCTGGAAACACAGAGTTAGGGTCCAGAATTAATTCCCTGCTATTATGTAAGGTACTTAAACATGTGCGGCTTTTTAAGCATCTTCGATAGGACTCGTCGTGTGGTTCAGCCTTCACACAGCCCTCGTGATTTTATTGAGAATTTTGTGACTGATGGTGTTTCTCAAAGCTCCAGCTCCCAGAATCTAGTGATCACAGGACAATGTTCGCTTTTATGTCGATAAAAGTTTCCAGTCCTCATGTTTGAGGGGAAAATAAAAACATGTAAATTGTGACCTGATTGTCTGACCTAAGGGCCCAGAAACCAGAAGACAAATACAAAGAGCCAGTTATTCATTATGAGAAACTTCTAAACCAGTGTTTCTTAACTGGTGTGCTGCAGAGAACAGAATTCAAAATGGCCACCCTTAAAGGGGCAGGCAACTTTTTTTTTTTTTTTTTTTTGCTCAACTTCCCCTGAGCCCTTTTTCCTGCAGCTTTTTTTTTTTTTTTTTGGCTCAACAAAAAAATACTTGGTGTTCCTCATAAAAAAAAATGTGTTTGGTGTTCCTCAGCCTTAAAAAGTTTAAGAAACACTCTTCTAAACAATCCAAAACACACCCTGACGATTTCCGAGAGCCGAAGTGCTACTTCTGAACATTTGAGATGGGCAACACGGACTTTTAAGTACCTTGGTGACCGGGAGCCAAATAACTGGTCTTTCACTAAGAATCTTTCCTCTCAGCTTGGTGAAGGTTGCATTAGGCTCATCACTCCAAATAATTTCCACCAGTGGTCATTCACTAAGCACTTTCACTAAGAATCTTTCCTCTCAGCTTGGTGAAGGTTGCATTAGGCTCATCACTCCAAATAATTTCCACCACCCGCCCTGTCTTAACTTGGCCTCCTTAGATCTTCAGAGATTAACTTAACTCTCAACTTCGGACGCGAGGGTTGAGACCGACACAACTTTTCAGCAACGAGCACAGTTTCAGCATCGTTGAGTGGGAAATTTAAGGACACAGGGCTCTTCTGTCTATCAACCAAAAGTACAACAAGATCCAAAAGCCGGAAACGCAAGTTAGACACATTCAGGCTATTAACAAGGCACATTTTTAACAATGCGGGTAATTAACCTTAGGAACACATTGTCAAGGGTTGTGGTGGACTCTCCATCACTGGCAAGTTTAAAATCAAGATTGGATGGTTTTTTCGGCTGTGGTGCACACAAGAAATAATTCAGAGAAAACCAAGGGCCGGTGGTAAACACCAGAGTTCAGACTACGGTCCCTCCTGGCCTTATACTCTATGCCAGTGTTTCTCAACCAGTGGTACAAGTACCCTCGAGAGAAGTCTGGGGAGTACGTCAACACAACTGAAATTTGGAGAAAACTGAATTTTTGTTTGAAGATTTACAGAGCTTTATTATTTGTGTGCTTTTTACGCCCAAAAATTTCATCACCCACCCATCTATGTTTAAGTTGTTTAAACAAATGTGTTACAACGGTAGAAAAAACATTTGTGTGTCTGAAATGTGTAGGTACTGGGGGTACTTAAATTTTTTTAAAGGATCTTTATAAAAAAAGGTTTGAGAAACACTGCTCTAGGCAACAATTTGCTAATGCAGCCATCAACTTCTGCATAAAAGCATTATGGATTTACACGCGCGGCTTCAGTGCAGACAACCAGACGCCACACTGCTGAATATTGATGATCATCCTTATATGAAAACTACTATACTGGGTGGGGAAGGGGACAGATTTTGCACCACTGCATCAGCGCAGAATTAATGTCCCCCATAGATTCTGTTTTCTCCCACAGACTAATGGATTTTGACGAGGAAATGAAGGCTAACCTTTCGCCTTCCCCGGGCTAACGTGGCGCCAAAAGAGAGGGCAGTAAACTTATAAGCAGTCACAGAAAAGCGGGGGTGGGAGAGGCTGCCTTCATTATAGCACCCTCCTGGTGTCACTAAGTGAGGAGGAATGGGATATGGTGGGGGGACGGGGACAGAGCAAGGTACATGGGGTTGCTGGGGTTCAGAAGGGCCAATGGCAGTGTTAGAAGGGGGTGGGGGCACAGAAGCTAGGGACTGCATGGGGAAAGCTCTCCAGCAACCCTTCCCCTTCAAAAACCTCTTCCATCCTTCTCCCAATACCCCTCCAGGGTCACTCCGAGGCTCCTTCCCAGCGATTCCCTCCCTCTCCGCCAGCTCCTCCTTCACCCCAGGCTCCCCCAAGCTTTGAACACGGCTTCGGAGGGCGGCAGGAAACAGGCTTCGATATTGGCGTTCACATGGATCTCTACTCAGCGTTCTGTCTGAAGACGCCGAGGAAGATCTATTTGAAATAGATTCCTACTTCCCGAAACGCCTCTGTTAGCGTAGCGATTACGACAGAGACATTTATTGGCAGCGGTTTTGGAACGAAGTGCCGAACGAGTTGAAACTGATCACGCTGCGATGTGGCCAATCCGAATAGGCAGGATTGTAAAGTACTGCGGGGAGAATGTTGAATTTTTGGGCGCAGAATTCCCCGCCCCGAGTCACTAGCTCTGCAAGGAAGCCCTGTTCAGCTGTTCGCTTCTTCCCTGGTGAATAGGAGATTGGCGTCTACTCGAGCCACACGGTCAGAGGAGCAATCCCTTTGCGGGGGGAAGCTCAGATGTGCCAGTCTTCCATTGACGTTGGGGATTTCACGCCCGTGGTGTAAGTCATGCAGACGCCACAGGGTCAGGGAGCTGTAACTGGTTCCCCTTGCACTGAACGGAGCAGACACTTTAGCTCTGTCTTCCTACCCACGCCCTGGTCCAGTAGCACCGCAGAGTGACGCGCACCTCGGGAAGGAAGTCTGCTCGTAACTCTGAAAAGTTCACAACTGAACAAAACGTTGCGGCGGCTTTTTCCAAAGGTTACCACGGAACATCGGCTTCCTCCAGCTTTGCCCCTTAACGGGGCAGACGAAAACCGACGCTTTCCCGCTTTTTTTAAAGTCGTTTACGTATAATACAATGCTGCATGGCATTTGGTGGCTTTTTTTTTTTTTTGGGTGGTCTCTGCTGCTGCATACCTGGTGCCAAACGAGGTGTGCGGTCCACGGGTCAGTTCGCACCTCTGAGGGTCTCTTGAATGTTTGCCTCCCTCGCGCTCCCTTAATTCCATCCCCACTGAAGTCGCTTCCCCGATGGGCCCAGTGCCGATCGAGCGGGGACAGACAAACCGACCCCAAGCCCTCCCTTTTTACTTATTCTCTTCTCGTCTCCCGCCTCTTCTCCATATGTGCTCAGCCTCCCCCTTCCCACCTCTGTCCGTCTGCCCCTCTCACCTAAGCTGCGCCGCCTTCTCCTCCGGAGGGCTGTCATCGTCCGGCTCCGGCTCCGAAGTCCCCTTCGCGGGACTTTTGCCGCGCTTGTCCTGGCTGCTGTCTCTTTGTAGCTCGGAGTCGCTGGACGGGCAGGAAGGGCGTAGGAACAGGTTCCAAGCTGGGTCAGGGGGCTCGCCAATGACAGAGGAAGCTAGTCCCTCACACGCCCTAGAGAGAGAAGCACCCAGACTAAAAGCCAGCATTAAAGGACTCAGCGGATTAGCCCAAGCTCCCGCCAAGAGCGGAGAGTTCAGATGCGCAAGTGTCAGGGTTAGGTTTCCCAGAACAGCCCCCCCTCCACAGGACACGTTTCGTGCATGGGTCTCTCGTTCCCGGGGTCGGAACACAGTCCCGAGAAGTGAGGGGGGCAGGAAGGGCAGGGGGTTACGGTCCAAGACCTGACTTTCCCTGGCCAGAGCCTCTGCAGCTCCCCACAACCCAACCTGTCCGCAGGGCTCCTTACCTGTCCAGCGAGGGGTGGTAATTCTCATCTCGCAGGTCGTCCGTGTACGTGAGGTCGTCCTCCTCGGTGAAGTCTTCGTCCTCGTCCTCCGGGGGCGCAGGCGCCTCCTCCGACCTATCCTCCAACCCCGGCGTGCTGCAGGAACCAAATGTCAAGGGAGGGGGCCGGGCGGATGCGCCCCTCCCTAGCCGCGGCTCCCAAGCCCGTCTCTGATGGCCGTTGTGTCAAGAGCTACTGCAGAAGCGGTTCCCAACGGGGCGGGGGAGTGTTAACAGGGAGGGGGCAGGACGGCTCCCCTGGGAACTGGACTAAGAAGTCCGCAATTCAATTCACACTGGATGTTGTCCAATAGGAGTGACTCTAGATCACCATGCCGGGGATTGGTGAGCGCCAGGGACGGATGAGGGGGATAAGAGCCGCCCACACTCACCTCTCCGGCTCCGTCCCTTCCATGCCAGACTCTGCCTGCTCCAGGGGAGCTGTGGGGGAGAGAAACTAGCTGCAGTCAGTTAGAGGGTGGGGGGAACCACGCTCCTTGGGGTATAAAGGCCCCATTAACAGGTGTGGGGCCAGGAAAACCTATCAACCAGTTCCCAGAACTGTCCACTGAGATTTCTTGCTCCTACCCAGCAGCGGATGCTGGTGGCTGAGGGATAAAGGGCGGGGTGGACCCTGCTCTGACCTGCCCTGGCGGTTTCGCCGTGGCAGGATCCCAGCGGCGCTTGGCTGGACATCTGGAGAGCCCTGCGCGAACGCGACTGTCTGTCCGTGGATGCAGAGGGATGTCGGGGCCACGGATCCGCAGGGCCCTGCTCCCAGGAGAGACCGCGGCCAAAGGCCAAGTTGGCAGCTCCACCGGCCATGGGGCTGTCGCACACTTTGCTCCGCCGCCAGTGGGGAGACGCGGTTTTGGGCAGAGCTGGGGGCCGGCGCGGCCGCTCACCTGCCTCAGCGCCAGCGCTCTCGGCTCCTAGGTCCGTGCCGTGGTCCGTGCTGCCCGCGGGGGATGGCGCCTCCGTTTCCCGCCCTGCAGCCCCGTCCCCGGTGGGGCTGGCCTCCGCCTTCACCGCCTCCCCCGACACATCCCGGGAAAGCGCTGCCTGGCGGAGCGAGCGCCTGCGGCTGGCAACCGGGGAGGAGGGCGAGCTGGGCTGGGAGCTGCCCTCTCTTTCCTTCCTGCGCCGGGACGCGGCTCGGCAGGGCTGGCCGCCAGCTGCCGGTGGGGCACGGCCCTGCTCCGCCGCTGCGGGGGGCCCCCAGGAGAAGGTGTGGCCAGCCAGGCACTCCCACACCACACTCCACGGAGCCCCCGTCCCGCCGGCTGCGGGGGTCTTCACCGCGGGGAGGACGCTGCACTCCTGGCTGTGAGCGTGAGACAGGGCGACCAGGCGCTGCAGGGCATCTGTGGGGAGGGAGCCCCCCTGCTCTGGGAGAGAGAGAGAAAGAACCCACGCGTCAGCCACGGGTTGCCCCTCTCTATCCATCCCCCCACAGCACCATCCCCACTCCCCCATAACCCAAGCCTTCTAAGCCTATCCAAACTTGGCGGGCGGAAACCAGCAGAACCCGACAACCCTGCCCACGGGCAGTGGGAAATGGAACGGCTCTCGGGCCACGCACAGAACCCCAAAGGGCCGCAAGCGGTCTGCAGGCCCTAGGCACCCAACGCCGGCACGCCACAATACAGCGAGTAACACGCCGGGGATCAATCCCCCGGTGCAGTGTTTCTTAAACTTTTTAAGACCGAGGAACACCACACAATAACGGGTTTTTTATGAGGAACACCAAGGATTTTTTGTTGAGCAAAAAAAAAGAAAAGAAAAGTTGCCTGTCCCTTTAAGAGCGGCCATTTTGAGCAGCACACAGTTTAGGAAACACTTCCCTGCTGGAAGATGCGTAAAACCAAATCGGATACCACACTGCAATGTCTGTGAGCCAAGAGGGAGAACGTGGTCCCCACCCGACCCGGGGCCAAGTTATCTCCCCGTTTCCCTGAGACCAAAAGCGACGGAAGCCCTGATTATCCAGAAATTAGCCAGCTGCTCTCCCTTGTATCCGCTCACTCCCCTTCCTGACGCCACTTCACCTACGTCCCGCTACTATTTTATTATCGCTGTATGCTAACCCGATGCAGCGATTGCGGGCACGGGCGTATCTACCGTGGAGTGTCTTCCTGACTCCTCCCTGTTATTTCTCTGCACTGTCCAAGTGAGGAATTTTCCCACAATCTGGGAAAATTCGGGACAAGGAGTGGGCCGGGAAGAAGTCGGTGGATTATTCAAGGCTAGTGGGCACCACCACGGTGCGGTAGAGCCGCCAAACGTGGGCTGCCTAGCACCCGGACTCTCAGGGGACGGCTACGCAGCAGGGCAAACGGCGAGTTACGTCAATGGCGTAACTGACGTTGAAATAGCTTAACTCGGCTTTCGGCATGGTCTACCCAGACAAGGCTCTTCCTACAGCTTCCCTGACTCCTCGTGCAATGTGGGTTCCAGGAGTCGGAGCAAGATGCCCTCCAGCCCGACGTGATTTCGAAAGAACGGCTTGCCGTGTAGACACACACGACATTACGTCGTTATAAGTCCCCTCGATATTTGTCGTTTCGCAGCTACGTCGTCAATTCATTCAGGAAACTAACGTCATCATATCTGCACGGACATCATTTTTCAAGGGGCCAAAAGCCAGCAACGTAGGCCAGGCGAGTTTAATTAAAAAAAACGCGGCTCCTGCTGGTGTTGCTCACGGCCGGGCCGCTCTGTGCCTGGAGGGAGCGACTTATAACGAAACGACGTGTCTCGTCTACTGTATTTCTATGGATTGTTTTTGATGGGTTCTAGGGACGTTAGACGTCGATACACGTATGTGAACTGTATGGGATGGGAACGTGTCCCACGCTAATTACGTTATTCCTCGTTCATTCCCCTTTGTAAGTCGTTTCGCTACAAGCTGCATTCTTAGGAACGTAACCTGGACTTACAATGGGGACCCCCTGGATTTGGAAATTCGTAGAGGACACCGCCTACGTCTCCCCCCGTGGAGACGTGTGTGCGGCGTCAGAGATACCCAAACCCCAGTGCATGATGGGAGCTGTAGTCCCCAAACCCCAGTGCATGATGGGAGCTGTAGTCCCCAAACCCCAGTGCATGATGGGAGCTGTAGTCCCCAAACCCCAGTGCATGATGGGAGCTGTAGTCCCCAAACCCCAGTGCATGATGGGAGCTGTAGTCCCCAAACCCCAGTGCATGATGGGAGCTGTAGTCCCCAAACCCCAGTGCATGATGGGAGCTGTAGTCCCCAAACCCCAGTGCATGATGGGAGCTGTAGTCCCCAAACCCCAGTGCATGATGGGAGCTGTAGTCCCCAAACCCCAGTGCATGATGGGAGCTGTAGTCCCCAAACCCCAGTGCATGATGGGAGCTGTAGTCCCCAAACCCCAGTGCATGATGGGAGCTGTAGTCCCCAAACCCCAGTGCATGATGGGAGCTGTAGTCCCCAAACCCCAGTGCATGATGGGAGCTGTAGTCCCCAAACCCCAGTGCATGATGGGAGCTGTAGTCCCCAAACCCCAGTGCATGATGGGAGCTGTAGTCCCCAAACCCCAGTGCATGATGGGAGCTGTAGTCCCCAAACCCCAGTGCATGATGGGAGCTGTAGTCCCCAAACCCCAGTGCATGATGGGAGCTGTAGTCCCCAAACCCCAGTGCATGATGGGAGCTGTAGTCCCCAAACCCCAGTGCATGATGGGAGCTGTAGTCCCCAAACCCCAGTGCATGATGGGAGCTGTAGTCCCCAAACCCCAGTGCATGATGGGAGCTGTAGTCCCCAAACCCCAGTGCATGATGGGAGCTGTAGTCCCCAAACCCCAGTGCATGATGGGAGCTGTAGTCCCCAAACCCCAGTGCATGATGGGAGCTGTAGTCCCCAAACCCCAGTGCATGATGGGAGCTGTAGTCCCCAAACCCCAGTGCATGATGGGAGCTGTAGTCCCCAAACCCCAGTGCATGATGGGAGCTGTAGTCCCCAAACCCCAGTGCATGATGGGAGCTGTAGTCCCCAAACCCCAGTGCATGATGGGAGCTGTAGTCCCCAAACCCCAGTGCATGATGGGAGCTGTAGTCCCCAAACCCCAGTGCATGATGGGAGCTGTAGTCCCCAAACCCCAGTGCATGATGGGAGCTGTAGTCCCCAAACCCCAGTGCATGATGGGAGCTGTAGTCCCCAAACCCCAGTGCATGATGGGAGCTGTAGTCCCCAAACCCCAGTGCATGATGGGAGCTGTAGTCCCCAAACCCCAGTGCATGATGGGAGCTGTAGTCCCCAAACCCCAGTGCATGATGGGAGCTGTAGTCCCCAAACCCCAGTGCATGATGGGAGCTGTAGTCCCCAAACCCCAGTGCATGATGGGAGCTGTAGTCCCCAAACCCCAGTGCATGATGGGAGCTGTAGTCCCCAAACCCCAGTGCATGATGGGAGCTGTAGTCCCCAAACCCCAGTGCATGATGGGAGCTGTAGTCCCCAAACCCCAGTGCATGATGGGAGCTGTAGTCCCCAAACCCCAGTGCATGATGGGAGCTGTAGTCCCCAAACCCCAGTGCATGATGGGAGCTGTAGTCCCCAAACCCCAGTGCATGATGGGAGCTGTAGTCCCCAAACCCCAGTGCATGATGGGAGCTGTAGTCCCCAAACCCCAGTGCATGATGGGAGCTGTAGTCCCCAAACCCCAGTGCATGATGGGAGCTGTAGTCCCCAAACCCCAGTGCATGATGGGAGCTGTAGTCCCCAAACCCCAGTGCATGATGGGAGCTGTAGTCCCCAAACCCCAGTGCATGATGGGAGCTGTAGTCCCCAAACCCCAGTGCATGATGGGAGCTGTAGTCCCCAAACCCCAGTGCATGATGGGAGCTGTAGTCCCCAAACCCCAGTGCATGATGGGAGCTGTAGTCCCCAAACCCCAGTGCATGATGGGAGCTGTAGTCCCCAAACCCCAGTGCATGATGGGAGCTGTAGTCCCCAAACCCCAGTGCATGATGGGAGCTGTAGTCCCCAAACCCCAGTGCATGATGGGAGCTGTAGTCCCCAAACCCCAGTGCATGATGGGAGCTGTAGTCCCCAAACCCCAGTGCATGATGGGAGCTGTAGTCCCCAAACCCCAGTGCATGATGGGAGCTGTAGTCCCCAAACCCCAGTGCATGATGGGAGCTGTAGTCCCCAAACCCCAGTGCATGATGGGAGCTGTAGTCCCCAAACCCCAGTGCATGATGGGAGCTGTAGTCCCCAAACCCCAGTGCATGATGGGAGCTGTAGTCCCCAAACCCCAGTGCATGATGGGAGCTGTAGTCCCCAAACCCCAGTGCATGATGGGAGCTGTAGTCCCCAAACCCCAGTGCATGATGGGAGCTGTAGTCCCCAAACCCCAGTGCATGATGGGAGCTGTAGTCCCCAAACCCCAGTGCATGATGGGAGCTGTAGTCCCCAAACCCCAGTGCATGATGGGAGCTGTAGTCCCCAAACCCCAGTGCATGATGGGAGCTGTAGTCCCCAAACCCCAGTGCATGATGGGAGCTGTAGTCCCCAAACCCCAGTGCATGATGGGAGCTGTAGTCCCCAAACCCCAGTGCATGATGGGAGCTGTAGTCCCCAAACCCCAGTGCATGATGGGAGCTGTAGTCCCCAAACCCCAGTGCATGATGGGAGCTGTAGTCCCCAAACCCCAGTGCATGATGGGAGCTGTAGTCCCCAAACCCCAGTGCATGATGGGAGCTGTAGTCCCCAAACCCCAGTGCATGATGGGAGCTGTAGTCCCCAAACCCCAGTGCATGATGGGAGCTGTAGTCCCCAAACCCCAGTGCATGATGGGAGCTGTAGTCCCCAAACCCCAGTGCATGATGGGAGCTGTAGTCCCCAAACCCCAGTGCATGATGGGAGCTGTAGTCCCCAAACCCCAGTGCATGATGGGAGCTGTAGTCCCCAAACCCCAGTGCATGATGGGAGCTGTAGTCCCCAAACCCCAGTGCATGATGGGAGCTGTAGTCCCCAAACCCCAGTGCATGATGGGAGCTGTAGTCCCCAAACCCCAGTGCATGATGGGAGCTGTAGTCCCCAAACCCCAGTGCATGATGGGAGCTGTAGTCCCCAAACCCCAGTGCATGATGGGAGCTGTAGTCCCCAAACCCCAGTGCATGATGGGAGCTGTAGTCCCCAAACCCCAGTGCATGATGGGAGCTGTAGTCCCCCAGCCCCAGTGCACGATGGGAGCTGTAGCCCCCCCTCCTAGCCCCACTGTATCATGGGAACTGTAGTCTCCCAGCCCCAGTGCATGATGGGAGCTGTAGTCCCCCAGTCCCAGTGCATGATGGGAACTGTAGTCCCCCAGCCCCAGTGCATGATGGGAACTGTAGTTCCCTGGCCCCAGTGCATGATGGGAACTGTAGTTCCACAGCCCCAGTGAATGATGGGAGCTGTAGTCCCCCAGCTCCAGTGCATGATGGAAGCTGCAGTTCCCCCCAGCCCCAGTGCATTGATGGGAGCTATTGGCCCCAGACCCAGTGCATGATGGGAAATCTATAGGCCCAGCCCCAGTGCATGATGGGAGCTGCAGTTCCCCCAGCTGCAGTGCATGAGGGGAGCTGTAGGCCCCAGCCCTTGTGTTTGATGGGAGCTGTAGTCTCCAGCCCCTGTGCATAATGGGAACTGTAGTCCCCCAGCCCCAGTGCATGATGGGAACTGTAGTTCCACAGCCCCAGTGAATGATGGGAGCTGTAGTCCCCCAGCTCCAGTGCATGATGGAAGCTGCAGTTCCCCCCAGCCCCAGTGCATTGATGGGAGCTATTGGCCCCAGACCCAGTGCATGATGGGAAATGTAGTCCCCCAGCTCCAGTGCATGATGGGAGCTGCAGTTCCCCCAGCTGCAGTGCATGAGGGGAGCTGTAGGCCCCAGCCCTTGTGTATGATGGGAGCTGTAGTCTCCAGCCCCAGTGCATGATGGGAGCGGTAGTGACTAGCCCAGTGCATGATGGGAGCTGAACTGACTTGCTGGTCATGATGGGCACTGCAACCAAGAACCCCAGCCTCTGTGCATGATGGGTACTGTAGTCTCCAGCCCCAGTGCATGATGGGAATTGATGTTCCCAGCCCCTGTGCATGATGGGAGCTGTAGTTCTCCCCACCCTCAGTGCATGATGGGAGCTGTAGTCCCCCCTTCTCCAGTGCATGATGGGAACAGTTTAGCAGGGTGCTCTGTTAATCAGCTGGGCAGCATTGGACTCTCCTGGGTGGGTTATGTAACAGACGCCTACACACACAGAATGGACATACGCACTCGATGGAAACAGACAGGCTCGCCGACCGGAGGAACAGGGGTGCACAGACCAGACAAAGCCGGGGCCAGTTTTCCACTCCACCCTCATGAGCCCATTTTCTGAACACCGCCTGAC